ATTGGAAAGAAATTATCCTCCTGCAAAGACATATTAAAATACAAATCTATAATGCGGTGGGCATTTTTTTATGTCAGCAATTTTATCCTAAAGGAAATGCCTTGTATTAACATTGCAAGTTAGTTTTTAATCTGAATAGTGACTTTCAGCAGGAATTTACTTAATCCTTGTAATCAGCAGTAATGGGGAAAGTATTACAGACAACCAAGCAAGAGTTTTCAAGTGATCTTTTGTCTAAGTCACTAAGGGATCTCGGGTAAAAGGAAAGTAACGAGACTTTCCACTTACCTTCTCTGGTTTCTGGGAATAACTCTCAAAACCTCTTATGCACAGAACACTCTGATAAGATTAAGGGTCATTTTTCTCTTCCCCAATTCACTCTTGGGTTGACAAAAAAAAATCTTGGCATCTTGCCTCACTGTCATTTACAATCCACCATTGCCATTTTCTTATCATTTCAAAATGTAGATTTAAAACAGCACCTATTGTTGTTTAACTAACATTTCAAATCGTTGCTTTAAGATGAAAATCAAACCATGAAAAACACTGAGAGGAGATAAGGCCTAGGAGACTGAAGTACATATACTTTGCTTGGAAGTAAAACATGTCACATGAATCAAATAAAATCACTACTAATGAAGCAAGAAATCAAATCCTAAACTATTATTTCTTCAAGATAAGCATTTTCTTGATAGAAGATAAAACCATAGGAAAAGGGAGAAGAAGGAAAAGATAGACAACTAAAGTACTTGTACATTTTTTAGTTCATATTTACAAAACGTTGTGCTAGAATTTGGATAGATTTCTTCTTTAAGATAGCTGTTTTGTGTACCCTACAAAGCCCATTCTCATTGCACTGTGAGAATGCACAGAGAAAATAATAATAGACTGAGCAAGTAGAAGTTATTCAGTGGTCTCTGATGATACTGAGAAGTCATTTAAAATAAAGTTAATTTTTTTTCCATCATGCCTCTCTCAAACATTTATTTTTAATACTTCTCTTTAATAGCTTAGGTTGAACTCTATGTAAGTCTGATCTTGGGGCAGTTTTTATTTGAAAGCATATGCACAGGCCTGTTCTTCAAGCCAGGGTTCCTTGAACACGTCCCTTGCTTGCTTGTATCTGTCTCTGCTTGCTTTACCCACTCTGTCGAAGCCCATGTTCTCTTTTGAACATGTACTTTCTTTTCTTCTCTCCCCTCACAACTTTCTAAGTAAGTTTAAATTTTAAAAAATGCATCATATAGAAAAAAAGGCAAGTAAAAACACAACACCCAAAAGGAGAGAGAGAACAGAGGGGAATGCACTGCCACAGAGGCAGGGGGGGATGAGGGTGATGGGGGGTGGGAGGGGCACTGGGATCCGTGGTGGTGGGAAATGGGCACTGGTGGAGGGATGGGTATTTGATCACAAAATTTGTAAGTCTACAACTGTACCTCAGGGTGTCTCACTAATAAAAAAAAATAATAATAATAATAGTGTGCTGAAAAAAAAAGCAAGTATAACTTATCTTAGGAAGAGTCTACGAAAATCCTCAGCTTAATTCATGTTCCTGTGCCTTGTTCAGATAAGAATACAGCAATGGCAGATTCAGACACTCTCTCATGGATACGTTACTATAACACTTATGCTGTTATGAATCAATAAGCAAATCAATCACTTAGGAATAGGTAGACTTAAGGATAGGAGAGGAAAAAACTGCACTGAGGGGATTGGAAAGAGGTGGAGGAGCAATAAAAGAGGTAAGAGAAAGGGACTGTGGTCGCATTGATGGCATAGAGCGGTGGGACACTGTATGCCTGAACCACAGAACCAACAACACTGAAATCGTTGGATCCAAACTCCAACAACAATACTTAAAAATGTGCCTGTCAAGAGGCAGGTGTGTCAGCTGGGGCGGGGACTGGTGGAAGTAAGTTGACATCTGACGAGATTGGTGATGCAGTATTGTCTACCTGAAATTCAATTATAGTCCTTTCTTAAATCATGATGCCTTAATAAAAACCTTAAAAAGACAATAAATAGGCCTGTGCTTAAGTCAGTGGTTGATCAACAAGTTAAAATGTCTCCAGCTGATATTGATAGTCTAATAAGAAGAACCATTTAGTCCTTTTCTTAGCACTGCAATAATTTCAGTGAAATGGTATTTTTACTGTATTTTAGGCACCATAATTTACAATACCGCGAATGATTGGGTTTCTTGAATAAAACTTCCCAGCACCACACCCTCCACAAGTGTTTGCTTCCGTGTACCACAGTACCAGCGTCACAATCCTACCATTTTCGTGTACCCCAACTCATCCCACAAGCTTCCTACTGAAGATCATCAGTTCTTAGTTTCTGTTGCCTTGGCAGGATACTACATAACATATATATATATATATATATTCATATACATATATATTCATATACATATATATAACAATAACAGGATAATACTTGACTATAAGAAAAGATAAAATCATACAATTTTCTACTACATGAATGTATCTGAAGAGTATCAGATTAAATGAATTTTGTCAGAAACAGACGGACAGAAACAGTGTGGTCTCTTATGTGTGGGGTGTAATGTATATATGTAGCTTCTTTATCCAGTGACCTGTTCTTGGACATGGGTTATTTTCAGATTTTTGCTATTATGAATAATGCTGTAATAAACATGAGTGCAGATGTCTTTTCAAAATAGTCATTTTGAACCCTGGGGTAGAAGTCAAGAAGTAGAATTGCTGGGTCATATGGGTTAGTTCAATTCTTAGTTTCTAAAAGAAGTGTCCATATTGTTCCCCAAAAATGCTAGGCCAGGTGACATTCCTACCAGCAATGAATGAGGGTCTCTTTTCCCCCACATCTCTGTCAACATTGACTGATTTTGTTCTTTTTGGTTTGTGTCAGTCTCACTAGTGTGATATGATTACTCATTGTTTTTATTTGCATTTGCCTAATGAAAAGTGATGGAGAGCATTTTTTTTCAATATATCTTTTGGTCTTTTGACCATCTATATGTCTCCTTTGAGGAATTTTTTGTTCATTTCTTCTCCCAAATTTTGCTGCCTAAAAGCAAGTACCTGGGAATCAGCTCAACAAAAGAAGTGACACACTTATGCAAAGAAAACTATAAATTTCTACCTAAAGAAATAAAAGAAAATGTGAGGAAATAAAAGCATATCTTCTGTCCATGGTTGGAAGGATTAATATTGTCAAAATATTAAACTTGCGTAAGCATTATATAGATTCAGTGCAGTTCCTATAAAAATTCCCATGACATACTTTAAGACATAGATTTTTTAAAAAATCTGTTGAATTTTATCACTGTATCACTGTCCTCCTATTGATCATCGAATTACTCGAGCAGGTGCCAGTAATATCTCTATTCCTCCCATCCCTGAGATATTTTTTTTGCTTTTTGGGGTCACACCTGGCGATGCACAGGGGTTACTCCTGGTCTGCACTCAGAAATTACCCCTAGCGGTGCTCAGGGGACCATGTGGGATGCTGGGAATTGAACCTGGGTTGGCTACGTGCAAGGCAAATGCCTTACCCGCTGTGCTATTGCTCCAGCCCCCATCCCTGAGATTTTAGCAGCCTCTTCTTACTCATCTTTGTGAATTTGAATGTTATATTAAATAATAATCCTCCCACTCCCCAAATGGCCAAAGCGATACTAGGGAAAAATGAAATGGGAGGCTTCTCTTTCCCCCAACTTCAAACTAGAGTACAAAACTATAGTAATGAAAATCATGTGATACTGTGATAAGGAAAAACTATCAGACTAATGGAATAGAACAGATATATAGAGACAGATGTTTATGTATAGCACCGTAGCACTGTCCTCCCATTGTTCATCAATTTGCTCAAGCGGGCACCAGTAATGTCTCCATCGTGAGACTTGTTGTTACTGTTTTAGGAATATACACTATGCTACGGGGAACTTGCCAGGCTCTGCCATGTGGGTGGGATACTCTCAGTAGCTTGCCAGGCTCTCTGAGAGGGATGACGGAATCGAACCCAGGTCGGCCGTGGGCAAGGCAAACGCCCTACTCACTGTGTTATCACTGCAGCCCCAATTTTTTTAGGTATATAAGTGTTTAGATACACAAACAATTAATCATCAATAAAGTGGCAAAAAGAATAAAATGGAGCAAACAAATCTTCAACAAATGGTGTTGGGAAAACTGGTCAGTTATATTCAAAGAAATGAAGTCAGACCCCTTTCTAATGCCGTTGATAAAAGTAAGATCAAAGACCTCAATATTAAACCTGAATTCATAATTTATATGTAGAAAATGCTGGTAGAACTCTGTGACATTGGATCTAGAGGCAGCTTCAATGATTCCCTGTCATTGGCCAAGCAAAGAAGCGAAGATAAACAAATAGGACTATATTAAACAAAGATTCTGCACCATAAAAGAAACAATGACCAGAATAAAAAGACATCCCAAAGAGTATGATATTTTCCCACCATTCATCTGATAAAGGGTTAAAAGCTAAGATATATAAAGCACTGGTAGAACTTTACAAGAGAAAAACCTACCAATACCATAAAAAGGGGGCTGGGAGTGGTATTTTTAATTTCCCTTACTTATATAGGGAGCAGGAGCTGAATACATATAAATCTTGTTTAAGATCACATTTAGTTTCTGATTCTCTGGCTTGTGGCCCGCGCATCATCTACTAACAATAGCTTTCTGCAACTCCTCCCTCTTTTCACTGTCCCCTTGACCCCCTCCACAAAATCTGGTACTCACCTGAACTCATATTGCCCTTGGGAGTTGTGGAAAGAAAACCAAGTGAAGTAGACTTTCAAATGGGTGAACTCTTTCAAAGGGTTTTCTATAAATTTTCACTTCATAATTTCCCTTTATATGTTACGACCTCCTCTGCACTCAGTAATTTTAGTTTGTGCTTTTTGTTTTCTCTTTTTCCTTTTCTTTGTTTGCTGGCTTTGTGTTATTTTCTCCTTTTTTTTTCTTTTCTTTTCTTTTTTTTCTTTTTGATTGCAGGAATTGGTCAAGGCGTTCCAGTGGTGGCGCTGATTGTAGAAGGAGGACCCAATGTGATCTCAATTGTCTTGGAGTACCTGCGAGACACTCCTCCAGTACCAGTTGTTGTCTGTGATGGGAGTGGACGGGCATCTGACATCCTGGCATTTGGACATAAGTACTCAGAAGAAGGAGGGTAGGTAATTTTCTAGGCCTCATAGGAGACTTATGAATGGAAAGTCTGTGTTCCCTTCTTAGCCGAGAAAGCATTGGTTGACTAAGATGATAGTCTTCAAAGGATGGGAGTGAAGAATTTTTCCACTTCATGGGAACTTGTGGGAAATTCCCTGGGAGCTCCACAGTGATCCAATGAGAAGGGGTGGAAGGCACATGGGATTTGGTCTCATTTCTGTTCTCTTTGTTGTTTCATTCCTTTATTTTCTTCCCAAGAAGTAAAAGGAGGCGTTGTGTTTTTACATGAAGCATAGCTAACTCTTGGACCTTATAGTACAGATTAGTAACATAGGAGGAATAAAATACATGGGCTCCAAACTGGGCCTTCAAACACCAGGATCATAATGAGTTGCTCCATGTTTACAAATGGTAAATATTAAAAAAAGAAAACTTGTGGGCAGCGTTTACTGTCAGAACTTTCTAGTTCTAAATATGGTATTTGTAATGGTAGCCACTGTAATGGTGCAGTAACCACTATAATGAAATCTCTGTGATGGTACCTATCTGGTCCTATGGCAGTGCCTCAGTGTACTGCTCTGGGTTTATCAGTCCTCCAGTGCTTCTCTTGAATGCTTCCAAACCCAGGCAGTACTTTCTATCACATCCTTCCTCTCCAGTCTGAGGTTCAACTCTGAATGGTGAAGTAAAGGCACTCTAACAGGATATTCTATCAAAGTAATTTACCTAAAAGTCTTAATGAACTTGCAAAGAAAATGCAAGGACCGGGGAGATGGTCCAGCATGTAGGGCATTTGCCTAACCCTGGTTGGATTCCCCAGCGTCCTATAAGATCACACACACACAACAGTAATCCCTGAGTGCAGAGCCCGGAGGAAGTCCTGATCACAGGTGGATATAGCTTAAAATCAGAGAGAGAGAGAGAGAGAGAGAGAGAGAGAGAGAGAGAGAGAGAGAGAGAGAGAACTTGGGGGAGACTTGAAGTTATATAAAAATGTTCTCAATCTTATCAGTTTTCTTAACACATGAAAGTAGGAGGAGAAAAGATCCCCAAAGGAGTCTTTTGATTATCTCTTTTACAAATATAGTGTCTGCTGCTACCATGAACTGAGATATGAGAAATTTACTAGTCCTACACTCAAGAGCTCACAGCAAGCCCAGCACGCATATCATTATAATAAATATAAGTGAATTACTGTCTAACAACAAATAATGTGGGGATATAAGGGAGAGGAAGGCTGGACTGAAGGTGACTTAGAGATAAGTGTTATGACCATTTTGTTGGTTTGAAGCAACTGTGTATATCAATACCATAAACTTGACCAGCACTGTGACCCTCTCACCCAAACTATAATTTAAAAGTTGATTAAATAAAATACACCTTGGAACTCCCCCAGATGATGGATGAGACTGCTGACTTTGAAAAACTTCCTGCTTCTCTGTCTCTCCCAGCCAGATCTAAAGTAAAAGAAATTAAGAAGTGCAACACTAACTCAACATCATGGCTGTTCTTATGCCTCTCCCTCTCTCCCAGAATTCCTACCTCCCACCTCTTTCTGAGCTTGGAAAAGAGCCCACTTCCCTAGTTAGTGTATAAACCTAAATATGGGGAAATGAAATGTGGAATAATGAATGGAACAGGGCCTCAGGAGAGCATTGTAAATGCTGACAGTGACTTTAGGTCCTGTTACTGCTTTTGATATGAAAAAAAAATGGAAGCTTCTCAGCATGAAGTTGGAGTGTGTTGACTGGCAATTGTACTAAAATTACTTTTCTATATTCCCCTTTGATAGTAAAAATTGATTCACTTCTTAGCTAAAACACTGAAATGCCTAAATGCATCCATGTTCCTTTCCAAGCAGAATTCAGTATAACGACCTTAGCTTTGTTTTTATGAAAAAATGTAACTATAATTCTCACTGATTTAATTATAGCCATTATTTAGGTCAGAAAGATAGTACAGAAGGTGGGAGGGGGGTTTGCCTTGCACATAAGCTGACTCAGGTTCAATCGTCATCAACCCATATGATTCCCCAAGTCCACCAGGTGTGATTCCTGAGTGCTCAGCCAGGAGTAAACCCTGAACCCCACTGGGTGTGCCCCAAACCTCCCCCCAAGAATTCTGAGATTAGCTCCTATTTTTCAGAAATGAAATAATTATAGAGGCTTTAGCTTTGCTTATTTTTTTGCATTCTGAATGCACCGTTCTTCCAGAAAATTAATAAAAAGGCAGTCATCCTGCTCATCCTTTAAGAAGTTCTAAGTCTATGGAGTCAGAGGGATAGTACAGCAAGAAGGTCATTTTCCTTGCATGTGGCTGACCCAGGTTTGATCCTTGGCTTCCCACATCATCCACTGAGTCTACCAGGAGTGATCCCTGAACTCAGAACCAGAAGAAAGAAAGACCTGAGGTTCTTCTGCTGTGGCCCCCAGACAAAACAAAGCAAACAAAAAACAAGTTCTAGTTCTATCCCCAATAAAAGTCTGAGTCTGTTCCCATTTTTTGATAATTATAATGGACACTGTACCTGGAAAATAATGAAGTCTTTGGTAAGTTATCTTTCCTGATTCTGTTATAATATGAGAGAAATAGTATACATTTAAGAGTTGAGTATAACTATTACTTAACAAGTTGGGTGATAGGAGCACACATATATATTAAAGATTTTTCCACACAATGCAGAATCCCAGGCCAGGATTTTTTACAGTATATTGTAGAAATTTATTGAAATGCATTTTGGTATACTGATTGGTTTTTCTCCTATAGGTCTTCAATGATATTGTCTTTTAAAAATATAAGTAAAATTAAGTTATCATTGGCTTTCTCTTTCCATTTTAATTTAATTTTTTATTTATTTTGAGTATATAGACTATATAAGTGCATTCTAATAGTAAACCAATGTGCAAATAATTAACACTGCATTATGTGAATTCTCTTCCTTCCTTCACTTAAATAGGTATTCAGAAACATCTGGTTCTTTTAACTTCAGTTGACAGTTCTAGTTTTAAAACTAAGTTTTAGTCTTAGTTCTAATCACTTTATAGTCAAACTATTCAAAAGTATAATTTATGTGAGATCTACCAAACATAAGCCACAACTGATTATCAGAGAACTGGACATGCACATAACTAGTATGTCATGCACATAATTAGTATGGAGATAAATAATTGAGAAATAATTCTATATTTTGGAAATTATTAAAATTAAAACACTTAAAATGTTAAGCGATGTTTAGAAGTGTTTACAAGTAAAGATAATGTATATATAATATATGCAAAGCATTATGAAAAAGGTGAGAGATCTTGTTCAGTAAAACTAAATTCATTACAATCACATGAATTTGGATATTGATAATTTGTCTTTAAATTTCATTATTTACCACATTACAAAAATATGGATTTGAAAAGAATCACTTTGGAAGCTAATTATAATTGGTAAAACTGATTAACTTTTTTAGACAAGATTATTTGAAGTAGGAAAAAACAATTATGACACGAAAGGATTTGGATAAATTATGAGACAATTGCAATTAAATTCTCAGTTTTACCTCCCCCCCCCATTTCTGTGCTGAAGCTTGAACAAACTACTTGAAAGAAAAAAAATCACACTCTGTTTTTTTCCTTATTATTATACTACTTTTTCTATTTCTCATCTGCCCTAATTTAGAATGAGTCAGAATTCACTTTTACATAAATAATTGTTTAAGAAATATTATCCAATTTTATTTCTGAATCACGAGTGACTAAACACCATAAACATAAATAGATCTATTCTACCCAAGTGGCATTAGATTCAATTGCCTGATTTTTTTAACTAAGATTCCACTTTTTGCTCCTTACAAAACAAGATGATCAATGTTACATATAACTAGGAACTCTTTGTTGTCTGTAAGTGTCTTGAACCTGAGTCAGAAATTACTTACCTGATAAATGTCAACCTAAGTCTCTGCATTAAAAAATATATCGGGGCTGGAGAGATAGCACAGCGAGTAGGGCATTTGCCTTGCACGCGGCCGACCTGGGTTCAATTCCCGGCATCACATATGGTATGAGCACCGCTAGGAGTAACTTCTGAGTACAGAGCCAGGAGTAAGCCCTGTGCATCGCCAGGTGTGACCCCCCCAAAAAAGCAATATATATATATATATATATATATATATATATTTCATTTGTCACCGAGCAAATACTTCACTGGTGAAAAATGTCAGTGTGAAAAAGGCATCTGAATGGAGATGTGTTCTGGGGTGATGTGTACCCCACCTCCCATTCATCCAAATTTAATCACTGGAGTTCGGGTTTATTTTGGTATCTTTCCCCCTAATATAGTAATTGGACTACTATTTTTAGATAACAAGGACAAGAAGCAGAATCTGTGGGAGTAGAAAGCCTTAAAACTTTTAAGTGATCTAGTTCTATCCTTGGGAAAGTTATCTATGAGGCAAACACTAGAAGTTCACATTCTCTGCCTCAGTACAATTTGTATTAAATCTTAGGAAGAATACATGAGTATTATCTTGCTCTTAAAAGGGAGGGAATAAATCAGATGCTGCAAACAAGAAAAAAATGTATTTTAAGATTGAAGGGCACTCTCTAATGATCCCTACATTATAAAAGAAAAAGCGGAACACGCAGTGGAGACTTCTAAAACTCATAGAAAAGGAAAAATATGTTGAATGGTTTCAAATGATATAACTGCATCCTGTCACTGAAGTGACAAAAATTTATTTCTCTCCAATACACATTGAAAAGGACCCAAGATGGGGAAGGTAACTGTGTTAGAATCCAGGTCGAGTCTCTATTCCCTTGGGTTCGTCATCCCGTGTGCTGGTCACTAATATTTTCTTCTATTGCTCAAGAGACCGCCTTCCAAAGCTAACGGGTGCCATAGCCCTATCATTTATCCCTATCACGTCTGCTGAAAGAAATTGATTTCGATGGTTTGTATTCCGGCATGATTTAGACATAATTGGAATGTCAAGTGAGAAAGGAGGAAACAAATATGAAA